TTCGAGGTCCGAGCCTCGAGGCCGCTCGAAAGACGGGCGCGTTTAAACCACGGCAGGGGTCTGGAGATCCATTTTGAGTGGACTTTGAAACCTCCTCCCGTCGTGGAGAAAAAAGCCAAGACGGAATGGTCTTGCCAGTTTTGGGGCCACTGGGGGCCCTCGCCAGACTCCTCCAAGACCGTCAAGACATGGCTCGGGAGGGGCAGCCGGCCCTGGGGAAAGGGGCCCAGACTTCCAGGGACCCCGCTCTGACAGAGATCTGGACGTCGGATCCCTGGGTTTACCAGCCTGGAACATATCCCTATCCCTATGCTGGGCACCTCCTCATCACGACGCCAGTCTTAGGGATTCCCTTTTGTTTTGAGGGCGAATCCCTAAGATTGTCATCGCCTTTTGGCGTGTCAATCTTAGGGATAGGGATACGTTCGAGGCTGGTAATGGGCCCGATGATCCTCAGAACCTCAGAGCGCGTGGGAGCCCCAACGTGTGCTCGTCCACCGAAGTCTTTTCGGCACGACGCAGGCGGTGCAGTGAGGGCCGACGCAGGCTGCGCGCTGTCGGTGGAGTTGAACGGGAACAGCACACACTGGGGCAACACACGCCTAGAGTACCATCGGCCAGTTCTTCCCCAGAGCTCTTCACAGCTCGGATGCTGCTGAAGTCCGCCCGAAAAACTGGCACACTATGCGCAGAGGCCCTGGGGGGTGGGCGAGGGCTCCAGAGCGTCAGCGTCGTCGCCGCCGCCGCCGCCGTCGAGGCCGTCCCCATTCAGGGCCGGCGGCGCCGGCCGCAAGGCCTTCCCAAGGAAACAACCACGCTCACTATGAGAATAGAGACACGCGCCCTGCTCGAGCCGGACCTGCTCGAGCCAGCGTGGCAACGGCCTCGGGGAGGTGCTCCGGTCGGGGCCCTGGCTGCTCGGTCATCCGGGCGGGGCGCGACCCCCCTCCCTCTGGCGGCGCCTCTGGCGCCGCCCCTGATTTACTACGCGCGCCAGAGAGGGGGGCCCAGCGCCGACCCAAGAAATCCGCGCGGAGCCCCTCGAAATTCGCCGGCCCAACGGGCGAGAGGCGTGCTAAGGTCTCCGGTAACTGGTGAACAATATTTCTAGTTCGCGCGCGCGGGGCGGCCCCTGGGGGTCCCCGGGCGAAAAGTACCCTGGGCAAGTCCCGGGAGGGTCCCGGCAGGGTCGGGCCAGAGATGCCGGTCCGGGCAATCTTTTAACACCCCTTATGAGGATCGTGGCCTCCGAGGGGGAGCCGCAATCGACTACCCCCCCTCCCGACCCAAGAGGCCCCCAAGAGTCCCCCAAGAGGCCCTGGGGGCCCCCAAGACGCCGCCAAGGGGCCCCAAGGGACTCCCAAGAGGTCCCCAAGAGGCCCCGAAGAGGCCCTAAAGAGGGCTCCAGGGCCGGCGGAATGAACGAAGCGATGAAATAATGCTTGTGCCGCTCTTTAATCCTCGAGGTCTCCTCCTCCCTCCTCCACCCCCTCGGGGAGGGCTGCCCCCCTGAGAGTCAACGGAAAGGGGGGGACTGGCTGAGGGTGTGGGGGGGGAACATCGACCGCGAATCGGCGATACATCGCCAAAGGATCGGCGATGGGGCCCCGATGGCCAATCCGCACGTTGCGGAGTGGGTTATCGGACCCCCATCGGCGATGAACGGGCGATTGGGGGTCGATGCATCTCCCCCTGAGCATGCCCCCCCCAACATTGCCCGTTGGTTTTCGGGCCATGCTCGATTCTCAGGTCTCAGGCGGCCGCTCGAGATGATCCGGGCACCCCTGGGAACGCTCTCGGCGAGGCGCAGCTGCTGGAGAGCACCCCGAAACTGGAAAACTGCCGAAGATCAAACGAAACAGCCGAAGACCTCATTCCCCCCAAACGTTGCCCCTCACGCGATCCCGCGCGACGCCCCTCGTGGGCGAACATCGTATCCGCATCCGCGGCCGCGCGGGCCTTTTTTCGCGGATGCCCCGCACGGAACGTACCCGTGCGACCAGGCATCCGCAGGATCGCGCCCCGGACTGAAAACCGCGAGGGCGCGGATACGGATGTGTTCGCCGCTCGTGAAAGATGTCGCGGGATCCTGTCGACGCCGATCTTGGCTATGGTCCATGCTGGCCGTCGCCGGTCTGCGAGGACGATCCACGATTTGGCGCTTGCCAAGATGGACGGTGTCCAAGATCGACGCCAACGTTTCGCGTTCAATCCTGGTCATGGTCCTCGTGTTTTCCCCCTCCAGATCCTGTCCCCCGTGGTAGTCCAGGTCCTGTTCGCCCCCCGTGACCCCCCCTGTGGGGAAACCAAAAGGTACCAATACCGCTACTCCCTGGACCTCTCGCAGGGCGCGTTCTGACCAGGATTTCGAGGCGAATCCAGCGGTGGTGACGAGGGCACACGTCGGTCGGAAGAAGTAGGTAAAGCATGAAGTAGGAAGGCGGATCAAGTAGATTGGGCTCAAGCCCTCCCAGAGAATAACACAACGCAGCAAAAGCAGATCGACTCTTGAAGCACGAAGGCGCTTGAAGTCGATTGGGATCTGGGCACCCAAGGGTACCTACTTTCAACGACCAGCGTGTAACAAGCGGTCTGGGTACCTCTCCCTCCCCTGACCCCCCCCCCCCGAGCGTCACCGACAGGCACGTCAGGGGGGCGCCGCCGACGCAGCCGCCGCGCCCGGCGCACTGCGCCAGGGGCGGCAGGCAGCCTGCCGGGGCCGCCGCCGTCGAGGCGGGCGGCGAGAGCGGCGGCACGGCTCGGCGAGGGCGCCGAGGACCCGGCGCGAGCGGCGAGCAGACGGCCGACCCGCAGAAATCCGACGGGTCGGCCGCGAGCGGCGACGAGGCCTTCTCTGGGGGAGCGCGCCGCACTCGGCCGGGCCCGGGCACCCCGGAGGGGCCCGGTGCCCTCGCACTCCCCGTCGCCCTCGCCCCGGCGAGAATCGCGCCGACGTCGAGAGCACGTGCCCACGCGGGGGCCCCCCACAGGCCCGGGAGCTTGGGAAGAACGACTCTGGGCGCAGGGCGGCGGGGAGCGAGTGTGGGAAGCAAGAAGGAGTAGGCCTTCTCAGAAGGCGGCGGGACTTTTCAGAAGCCCTCCGGCCTTCTGAGAAGTTCCCCGTGTCTTCCAGGAAGGCTTAGAAGGCCGTCTCAGAAGGCCAGGGGACTTCCGAGCCTTTGGAGAAGGCCCGCCCCTTCTCACTTCCCCCCCGGGCTCGCCGCCGAAATAAGGACGCACGATGAGGATGCAAGGGCCTTGGAAGGCCACGTCGACACTTTGCGAACGGGGCGCGGCCAGCGAAAGCGGCAAAGGATGGGCTGAAGGGGGAGGATGCGAGGAAAACCTTCGAAAACTGCACATCCTTACTAAGCGGGTTGACTGTACCCTTCACGAGTGGCGGGCATATCCGCATCCTCGGGGACGCACAGACCCAGGTCAATGCAAAGCCGGGTCAGTCGAGCTTTTCAGGATCCTGCCAGGTCCTGCAAGACCCTGCATGCAGACCTGGATCAATGCAACTCTGGCTCTGCAAGATCTTGCGGGATCCGGCGCCGTGGCTGACCCCCATTTGCCTTGACCCCCGTCGCTTGAACCCCGATATCCGCGCCCTCGAGGTCTGGATTTCGGTGCGCGATCCCGCGGATACGCGGTCGCACGAGCGCACTCCGCGCGGGGCATCCGCGAAACAGCACCTCGATCTTATACCTCGGTCCGACCGTAGCTTGCACCACGCCGCATGGACTCCACCACACAGCTTGCACCAGACAGCATGCACCACATAGATTGCAGCACGTGGCGTCCACCACAAAGCTTGCACTACATTGCCGCCATCGCTTCCACCACAGGGCTTGCACATCCATGGTGCACAAACTCACTGTTCGGGGCCCACGAAGTCAAAGATGTCTTCAATCCTGGCGCTGTGCCTCCATGTGGGCCTCAAGCAGCCTTTTCAGGCCCGGAGAATGTCAAAAACGGCAACCCAAGATGAAAATCAATCCCGGGAGCATGTGTCGGGAGCCCTGGGATCAAGGACTGCAACAAATAAAACAAAAGAACTGCCGTGAGGATGTCTAAGGTCGGGGAGGACTCTGGCTCGGACACGGGGGTCCTGCAAGACCCTGCATGCAGACCTGGATCAATGCAACTCTGGCTCTGCAAGATCTTGCGGGATCCGGCGCCGTGGCTGACCCCCATTTGCCTTGACCCCCGTCGCTTGAACCCCGATATCCGCGCCCTCGAGGTCTGGATTTCGGTGCGCGATCCCGCGGATACGCGGTCGCACGAGCGCACTCCGCGCGGGGCATCCGCGAAACAGCACCTCGATCTTATACCTCGGTCCGACCGTAGCTTGCACCACGCCGCATGGACTCCACCACACAGCTTGCACCAGACAGCATGCACCACATAGATTGCAGCACGTGGCGTCCACCACAAAGCTTGCACTACATTGCCGCCATCGCTTCCACCACAGGGCTTGCACATCCATGGTGCACAAACTCACTGTTCGGGGCCCACGAAGTCAAAGATGTCTTCAATCCTGGCGCTGTGCCTCCATGTGGGCCTCAAGCAGCCTTTTCAGGCCCGGAGAATGTCAAAAACGGCAACCCAAGATGAAAATCAATCCCGGGAGCATGTGTCGGGAGCCCTGGGATCAAGGACTGCAACAAATAAAACAAAAGAACTGCCGTGAGGATGTCTAAGGTCGGGGAGGACTCTGGCTCGGACACGGGGGTAAGGCTCGTCAGCCTGTGCGAGAAATCATGGGGGAGCCTGCACGTCACGCTCATAGTCTCGACACTGAGGCTGACAGACAGGAAGCCTAGCGGCAAGGGAACAAGAACTAGCTGATTACTATACAATAGTAATCGAAGAACATACCTCAGCGTACGGCTGGGCTGCGCCCAGCCGGCCACGGGAACCCTGGAGAAGGAGGAGACGAGCTCGGCTGCGACCGCCCGCGCAGCCGCGTGGCCGCGCGGCGGCGCCCCTCGGCGCGCTCAGATGAGGTCCGCAATGTCCATGGGCATCTCCTCGATCTGCGTGTGGTAATACCTCTCGATGTCCTTCATGGTGCGGACGTCCTCAGAGGATGAAGAACTGCGTCTGCATAAACTTCAAGAGGTCCGCGTGGAGTTCTTGAATCGGCGCTGGACCCTTGGGGCGGCGCTGGAGGCGCCGCCAAGGGGGTCCAGCATCAATCCAAGATGTCCGCGCGGACCCTCTCAAGTTTATGGTTCTACAGTTTTTGGCTTCGAAATCCTGGTTGGTGACGAAGTTGATGGCCACCCCCTTCCGGCCAAAGCGGCCGCTGCGGCCAATGCGGTGGAGGTAGTTCTCCATGTTCTGCGGCAGGTCGAAGTTGATCACCAGCGACACCTGCTGCACGTCGATGCCCCTTGCAAGCAGGTCGGTGGAGATGAGCACGCGGGAGGAGCCAGAGCGGAACTCGCGCATCACCAGGTCCCGCTCCTTCTGGTCCAGCTCAGCGTGCATGGTCGAGATGGTGAAGTCACGCTTGGAGAGCTGGTCGGCCAGGAAATCGACCTTGCGGCGCGTGTTGCAGTAGATGATCGCCTGAGTGATAGTGAGAGTCTCGTACAAGTCACAGAGGGTGTCAAGCTTCCACTCCTCCTTCTCGATGGCGACGTAGAACTGCCGGATACCCTCCAGCGTGAGCTCGTCCTTCTTGACCAGGATGCGAACTGCATCCCGCATGAACTTGGAGGTCAAGTCCAGGATCTCGGGCGCCATCGTGGCCGAGAAGAGGCACACCTAGAGGAACAACAAACAGCATAAGCAGAAGTTTCCGGAGCTCCGAGCGGATTACTGGGATCTGCTCTGGGCCCACCTGGCGGCGCCTCTGGCGCAGACCATGGCGCGCGAAGCGCGCCAGGAGGGATGTCCAGCGCCGACCCAAGAAATGCGCGAGGAGCTCCGAAAGTTATGTGTACGCAGTGCTTATTATTTTCTTCTTCTTCGAGCACCTGCACGTTGGGAGGCAGGGTCTTGAAGATGTCGTAGATCTGATCCTTGAACCCACGCGAGAGCATCTCGTCCGCCTCGTCGAGGACGAAAGTGATGAGGTCATCCACCCGCAGGTGACGCTTGCCGATCATGTCGAACACGCGCCCGGGAGTGCCCACGACGACGTGCTGGCCGTCCTTCAGCTTGTCGATGTCGTCGCGCACCGACGTGCCCCCGATGCACGCGTGGCAGCGAATGTGAAGGTAGTCGCCGAGAGCCAGCGCCACCTGTCGGCGAGACGGACGAGGCCTTTTCAAAGGCGGCGGGGCTTCTCAGAAGCTGCCCTGCCTTCTAGCCCTCTGTTAGGGAACCGAACTCTATACTCCGACGCCTTTGTCTGGCCTCACACTGAATCTCGCACAGGAAAGCGGATCCTGGTGTATACGGTATCTTGGTGTATACATTCTTCGTTGTTCCCCGAGGAAAACGAGGAAAAAGCCCTCAGTGGCTTCAAGGAAGGCCCAGAGAGCATCTCGGAAAGCTGGAAGCCTTCCGAGCCTTCCGAGGAGGCCCGCCCACTCTCACTTGCCCCCCGGGCGCGCGGGCGGACCTTCTGGATCTGGTTGGCCAGCTCGCGCGTGGGCGCCAAGATCAGCGCCTGGCACGCCTTGAGGTCGTAGTCGATGCGCTGCAGGCAGCCGATGACGAACGTGGCCGTCTTGCCAGTGCCAGATTGGGCCTGGCCGATGGTGTCGCGCCCATCCAGGATCGGCTTGATGCCACGCTGCTGGATGGCGCTCGGCTTCTCGAAGCCATAGGAGTAGATGCCGCGCAGGAGGCCCTCCTTCAGGTCATAGTCGTCGAACGACTCGAAGACGGGGTACTCCTCGGCGCCTGAGACGGTAATGCCCTCGGACGACATTGCCCAGAAGGTGTGGCTTACAGACCGTGCGCGTGGGAGTTGGGCGTCGTCAAGGACGGCACCAGTCTTTTTGGAGCCTCGACGGCTCGGGCCAAAATGGCTACGGCAATGGACGAGGACAGATGGAGGAAGGGCGAGGTTGGAGGACCGAAGGTATACGTTGTCCTCAGACGACAAGTTGGGGTCGTGAGGTCTCAAATAAGGACATACATCGCTGGCCTGCATGAACAACTTACAACATGCATCAAGAACAGGCATCAAACACATACCCAACGACATACATGAGTAACAGACATCCAATACACACACCAAGAGCAGGCAGGCATAACAAACAACGATGGCATGTCGCTGACAAACGCCAACATCATACACCAAGGCCATGCTCAAATATTGCACCCCTGCTTCAATCTCATACCCCAGGTACAGACATTGGGTTTAAACAACAAGGACACGAATCAAGAACGTACACCAAGAACATGCACCAATACGAGACATTAAGGGCAACCACCAATAGCATCAAGGCGTCAAGGACACGCAACAACAACCTACACCACGACCAAATACCAACTCCATATAACCAACCATGCCACCATGAACACACATCGAGAACGCGTACACCAGCAACATACATCTACAAAATGGGTACGTCCATAGCGAACGTAAATACACGACAAACCTAGCGCACACACACACACACACACACACACACACACACACACACATACACACACACACACACACACACACGCGCGCGCGCGCGCGCATCTCATGAGAAGCGTTAAATCATATCAAGAGCATACAATAATATAATGCACCAAGGCTAGACGACTAATTCATCTAGCAAGAACACACAACCATAGCATGCATCTGGAACACACGCATGTAGCATACACCGACAGCACACTCCAGCAGTAAAACATCAACCACATACATCAACAACAAATACCAAGAACGCACGCACATCACTCACAGGAAAACTACTACCCAGTACAGTCAGCCAGAACGTGTACCGAAACCATATACCAAGATCGCGCATCAAGAACAGACAACACCACCACGCGTTCATACCAGATATCAGGAATGCACGCCAACAGCATCAACATGGAACTACATACAGCCGCGACACACATAAGAAGCATACATAACCGACAACGAGCGCAAAATATTGACATTATCACATATCACCATTACGGGCGTGCACCAGAAATATGCAAAACATACACACGACACATGAGACAGATGCAAGCATACCAAGCATACATAACATACGTGACTGCGACTACCGTGCACCAGCAATTCTGTGACATGCCACACTGCAGAATCACACGCAGCAGGCGTCGAAACCCAAAGCGAAGCAATACGACGCTGCTCGGTCCTTCTTAGGCTTCTCAGAACCTGGAAACATCGGAAGGCGCCCAGGTTGAGGGAGAAGCGAGGCGGGGAAGCCGAGGACGACGACGAGGATTACGGAAGCGGCAGCGGCGGCAGCGACGGCGAACCCGCAAAAGACGAACGACAAATAGGCACGGAAGAAATGGGTACGGAAGAAGTGGGTACGACGCCCAACAGCAAATTTTGTCCAACATCGACAGCGGTCACCGCTGCTGGGCAGGCAGCGTTCTTTCTCAAACGCACAACGTCCGCGGCGACACCGTCGGCGAGCCTTGTTCCAAATAGACAGGACGGGGTGTCGATCTTCTTCCCCGCTCTTTCCGTACCCGTTTCGATCGAACCTGACAAACGACGATGAGGGAGAACGATAGGATGAGACCAGCTCAAGCGGGAAAACATCGACCTGGAATCGGCGACAGATCCCCGATACATCGGCTCTGGGCCTCCGACAGCGAAACTGCAGGTTCCTGAATGGGGTGGGCTATCGGGACCCTATCGCGGCGATCGGTGCCGACCCATCCCCCCCTGAGCCCACTCCCTTTCCACATGGCATTATGACCAGAACTCGGGCCTCTGGCGGCCGTGCAGAACGATCCGGGCACCCCCCGAACGCCCTCGGCGAGGCGCAGCTGCTGGAGAGTACCCAGAAGGGAAAACCGCCGAGAGCCGAAAAAACACCCGAACACCTCGAACTTCGTCCGAAACGAGCCTACCCACCCTAGCTAAACAGCCTTGGACTTGTCCCTATCCCTAAGATTGACATGTCGAAAGGTGGTGTCAACCTTAGGGATGCGTCCTCAGAAACTGAAGGAATCCTTTAATTCGGTATCTCCTTTTCCTCCTCCTCCTCCTCCTCCTCCTCCTCCTCCTTCTCTTCGCCTCCTCCTCCTCCTCCTCCTTCTCCTCCTCCTCCCCCTCCTGGTCGTCGTCGATGTCTTTCAGAGTCGGCGGCACCGGCCGTCAAGCCTTCACAATCTTGGGAGATACCATGGCCCCCGCCATGATATCCAACCCCCCCTCTTGGCCGCCCCCGATTTCGGGCCATGACGACTCGGCTCTCCGGCGGCTGTTCGGGACGATCCGGGCACCCCCCTGGAAGTCACTCGGCGTGGCGCAAGCGCAGCTGGACAACCGCCGAACCACCGACGAAGACGTCCGACAGCCCACGCAAACGGCGCGACACGTGGAGCAAAAAGTTCCAGACCCTAACGTTTCGGCTACACGCAAAAGTGACCTTCGGTGCGCGGCTGTTTGGGGGCCGCGGGGGGACCAAGCACAAGCGCGCAAGATGCTGCTATCGCATCGCGATCGGCGACTGGGGGACTCCAATGGACCCACACCAAAAGGTCAGTCCGGCGAAGGATCACTTTTACGTGTAGTCGAACGTTGCCCCTCAGTTGCGCCGGGACCGACCGTTCCGGCATTCTTATAGGCCCACCACGAACTTCTCAGAACAAAATAATGTCCCAAGGACAAACGAGGTTCTCTGAGCATGAAGCCGATGTGCTGAAACAAGACAGTCTCAGCCAGAGCCGGTCTCAGAACCCTGCGCGCAAGCCACAAGAGGCCCTCAGAACACTCTTCGGTGTGCCTGTCGAAAAGCCAAGGCGCTTCGCCCCTGCTCGGCTCGGACCGACGACGAGCGACGAGCCTCCGCGGCCGGCGGCCAGCTGCGGCTGGCGCGGCCCGGGCCACCAGGCGCGGACGGCGGGCTCCCGCGGCGGCCCTCTGCCCTGGCCCGCCGCGTGCCGGGGGCAGAGGGCTCCTGCGGGCGGCCGGTCGCAGGACGGTCGCCGGGCGGTCGGCAACGACGTCCGACGACCGCTGACGGCGACCCCCCACGACGACGACGACGACGACGAGGACGAGGACGAGGACGACGACGTCGACGAGGACGACGACGACGACGACGACGACGACGACGACGACGAGGACTATGACGACGACGACGAGGACGAGGACGACGCCGAGGAGGACGACGACGACGAGGACGAGGATGAGGGCGACTGCGACGAGGACGTGCTCAACCCGATTAAGTCAAAATGGGTCGGTTTCAGCAGCGGTGCCAAGGCGTGCGAGAAGGGCAGGCATTGGCAGCAGGTACATCACACAGCACCTCGGCGGCGGCCCCGGCGACGCGCTGCGTGCCCTGGGTACGGATGAGCCGCTGCCGCCCACTGGCAACGAGCGCGGGCACGAGCTCGACTCGCCCTGCGAGGGCGGCGGCAGCGACTGCAACGAGGATGAGGGCGACTGCGACGGCGGCGGCAGCGGCGGGCAATGGCGAAGGGCGAGAGGCGTGCAACGAGTAACGATAGCGACGGCGACGACGACGGGAGGGGAGAGGGCGAAGAGGACGGGGGGGGAGGGCGTAAGGGAAGAAGGCCCTCTTCCTCTTCCTCCCCCCCTTCCTCTGAGGGGTAACGATTGAGGGGCCGGCTCAGGGGTTCCTCCTCCTCCTCATCCTCATCCTCCTCCTCCTCCTCCTCCTCATCCTCCTCCTCCTCCTCACCCTCATCATCATCAGCATCATCCTTATCCTCATCCTCCTCCTCTTCCTCCTCATCCTCTTCCTGCTCCTCCTCCTCCTCCTCCTCTTGCTCCTCCTCCTCTTGCTCCTCCTCCTCTTGCTCCTCCCCCTCATCATCATCATCATCATCATCATCATCATCATCATCATCATCATCATCATCATCATCATCATCATCATCATCATCATCATCTCCATCATCCCCATCATCATCACCATCATCCCCATCATCCCCATCATCATCACCATCATCAGCACCATCATCATCATCATCATCATCATCATCATCATCATCATCATCATCAGCAGCAGCAGCAGCAGCACCATCCTCATCATCATCTCTCCTCCTGCACTTCCCACTCCTCCTCCTCCTCCTCCTCCTCCTCCTCGCTCGCTCGCTCGTGGCTGTTGATCCAGTTCGTTGATGCAGCCAGTGGCCCCCTCCTGCGGGCGCCGCAAGGCACCGCAGGAGGGGGCCCATTCGGAAAATTGGCCGATCCGCCCGTTGGTGGGGCCGACGAAGTGCGCAGGGGGAGAAACGGACGGGGGCCCGAAAGAAAAGGTCGAAAGGAAGGTCACGGACGGCGGGCGAAACGAGGAGGGGAGGACGAAGAGGTGGAGCTGCGGGTCGAAGTGCCCGCCCTGTCTTCCCCCCACCACCTCCAGCACCTGCTAACTCACCTCCGCACTCATCCTCTCCCATCCCTTCCTGCCCCCCAGAGGTGGTAGTGTTCCGGGTGGATGCAGTTCGTGCACATGGAGAGGCCGAGGATGTACGGGACAAGGATGTTCCTGCTGATGTTGCGGAGGATGAGGTCCAGGGGGTACTGGTTGATGAAGGCAGTTGGAGCGTAGATCGGAGGTCGGGAAGGCGTATCCGTTGGCTGAGACGACGTCAGGCGCGTGGGCACCTCGTGCGGTCGTCCAGTGTTTGGTGGGTGATGGCGAGGATGGCTATCGCCGATGCTCGAGGAAGTAGGTTGTCGATGGATTCGTTGAGGCTGTCGGAGAGCTTGGACATGGTTCCTTGGCCAGGGTGATCTCGTTCTGGGTGTTGAGGGCCTGGTTGTCGCTGGCG